TGTAGCCCTTGTAGTATTTATCCACACTCGTGGGTAGATAGTGACAGTCTGGAGATATCTTACTTCGGAAAAACAGTGACGATAAGTCTATCTTCTTCCCCTTATTCCTGATATTTTTGATATAGTCAAATAAAATAAAATCAATTTTACGAAAACCCAGTTATTCTGTAAGTTTGTCTAAGCGATTGCAGTCTAAAGTTGTTTTTAATTTCAATTTTTCCCTGATAAGACTGAGATAAGTGTCATAAAGAGTGATATTTATTGTGATTACGAAAGCTTTACTATTATACAATGTATATTACCTATATATATATATATATATATATTGTTTGTGATAGGCAGCATGTTCATTTTTTGTTTAGTTTCATTAAACGTTATTAAATATTAAATAAATAATAAACTCTGTGTGCCACATTTATGTGTGTTTCTTGTCTCTTTCGCACTGATTTTAAACCTAATTTTAAAACTTATTTATTTCAGGGAAAAAAAGACTGTGTTTATGAAGGTCAAATGAAAATGAATTAATCAAAATACTTAACTATTAACTTAAAAATGGGTTGTAGCAACAAATTTCCCAAAACTGTCACTACGTGTCCCACCCTCCCTTACATATACTTTACATCTTTAGAAAATATTTATAAAATTGTGTATTAAAAAAAGAAAAAAATAGAAAAACAAAACAATTAAAATAAATATATAAATATAAAATATAAATAAGGACTCTCGATCTTAAACAATAAAAAATAAATAAGAGTTAGATAAGGTTAATAAGTGTCATACTCTGATGTAAGAGCAGAGAAATAAGAGAAGCAGATAATCCTCAAGTGTTACTGATTATCTTCAATTTATTTCGATGGAAATTTTAATTCTGTTTTATTTTAGGTATGTTGACGACATTGTGATGTGGCTGTACCATTCAATAAAATTGATAAAGGATTCACAAGATCTTTACACTCGAGGCTGCAGTTTATAATGGAAATAAGGGCAATAGAATTAATTTTTTAGGTATGACAATCATCATCAACAAAGATAGAAAATTAGAATTTGATTGGTTCCATAAGCCTACTTTTTCGGGACGTTATTTGAATTACCTATCCTCATACCCGATTTCACCAAAAAGAGATGTTATAATGAGAATGGTTGACAGAACTGTTTTATTTTCGAGTCCGAAATTTCACTATAAGAATATTAAGTTTATAGTCAATACTTTATTAAATAATGACTATCCGATTGACTTTATTTTCAATACTATCAATTCTCGATTAAAACTTTCGTTTTATAAATTAATGATAGAGAGGAATAATGACACTACTACAACGTCCATTAATGAACTATGATGAATATTCATCATAGTTCATTCTACCTTATGTTTCAACGGTTTCTGAGAAATTCTTTTCCATCGTCAAGAATATTAATGTTAAGCTGTCGTTTTTCAGTTTAAATAAACTCAATAGGTTCATTAAAGGACAAAAGGATGTTCTCCAAAACTCTCCAATAAAAATGTGGTTTTCCGTGCAAAGACTGTGATGCTTCGTATGTTGGGCAAACGGATTGTAAATTAGAATATCTGAACACCGAAACCACACAAAAAGTAATAACAGAAATCAATCAGTGATCACAGAACGACTTTGTTGTAACCATGATTTCGTCTGGAAGAATGTCCAGATTCTTGACGAAGAAAGATTTCTCAATAAACGATTAAATTCCGAAATGAGCTGAAACATTCGAAATAAATTGAAGATAACCAGCAACACCTGAGGATTATTTGCTTCTTCTATCTCTCCGCTCTTACATCAGCGTATGACTCATTAGCTTTATCTAACTCTTATTTATTTTTAAAGGAAATAGAAGTAGAGACTATTATTATTTAGCCAAGTGATTGTAGCCTCATAGTATTTCAAAGAATAGAAATATATAGAACACAAATGACTCAATTGTATGTATTAAGAGAGACTCCTAATTAACAAGAACTTACTTTCTCTTTCTCTCTCTCTCTTTATTTAATCTAATTTGTATTAAAACAAAAATTGTTATTAACCTTTTAATTATATTAAATTTTAGTCTTGCCTTGGTGTCGTAGCATAGCGAAATAAATAGAAACAGTGAAATTATTTTTAATTTTTTTTAACTCCACATTCACGAATCAGGACGTTCGTTGATATGCCGAAGTCGAAAAATGAAAAGGAGGAAGCACAGATGACGCTCAATCGCTGCCTCGATGTGTGCCGAACGTTATATGGCATTAGGAAGGTGAACCCTTGAATTAGGGCAGTTGGCAAATATCCAGATTAGGGGGCCACCACGCGAATTTCGTTGAAAGTCGTTATTTCATGTAATTCGTGCTACGGAGTTTAAACTTATTCACAAAAAATATAACTTTTATATTTGATTCCCAATAGCGATCATGCGACCAATTCCATAATTATATTTCACTTGGTTTACTTTAATATTAACAATTCAATTAGCATTTATTATTCACGTAGATATTTTTATCGAGAAAATCGATTGATAATCAAGACCGCAAATAAAATTAATATAATATATATTCATGGTGTTATGGAATTATTTGGAATGGATTAATTAAATTGAAATTATTTGGTTTTCTCTAGAGAACATAATAGAAATCTAAGGAATAATTCTAATCGGAATCCATCCGAATAATTAAGTACTTAATAAGCGCTTGATTTAAAAATCCTTCGTGTATATAACTTGTTGCGGAATTTCATTAGCTGATTTATCAAATTTATTTTGACGTATATCGTGCTGCGAAGGTTGGTAAAATGCCTCCTGATCATATGCGCGAGATATCAGGTTGGCAAATTAGGTTTAAATATTTTTGCAAGACATTATGCGTTTCGACAAGTTGCAGGTGCACTCATTCTCGCGCGCGACGTAATTATACCGGCAATTTGGATACGTTGCAGTTCAGTCTACTCAAGTTCTCAATTCTTTTATTATACACTTGTCTCGCTACATTCAATTATTTACTCTTTATTCATTAGCTTCATTGCATATAATTTATACCTATCTACACAAATAAGAAAGTAAAAAATCGGTACGTAAACGGTTCATCATTCCGCTGCAACAATGCTGCAATTAATCCTAGAGAAACGCGTGGCAATTTTCCGCCATCCCTACATTCATTCATCACAATCATCCATAACGACGCATTACTTGGGTAAACGTAAAGTGATCTTTCGCGCTCACCCCTCGACGTCCGCCGCATCATTCGCGAATGATCCGCAGCTCGACGACGTGCGAAACCAGCCAGACGCACGCTACGCACAACGCACGTCCTCGTCTTCGCACGTACGCATGTACGCCGCGCCGGGCCGCTCGCGTGTGCGTAAGAAACGTAACACTCTTAAAAAGAAGGGTATGACGTCACGAGGTGGTGGCACCCGGCGCGTGCCGCCAGTTTCGTAGATGGGGTACGAATTATCGTGGCGTTCAAGGTGGAGGGGTCAGGAGGGAAACGATCGCGAGCTGTACCAACACAGTGGACGTGGGGCGCGGGAAAGCTGGGAGGGGGGTGCAGGCAGGGGGCAGGCGCCCCGAGGTGTCCGCTAGCAAGCGGCTAAACGAGGGAGCGAGCGAGCAGACAGGCAGGCAAGAAGTCCGCACGACTCACGAGTGGTTAGGGTGTCGTACACAGGGGCTACGCTACGCTACGTGCGCGGTGGTGGGGGTGGGCGCGTGCAGCCGGCCTGCAGCTGCCTTCTCGCGTCGGCCCCCCTTTTCCCCTTTTCTCCCCTGACGCGACGGCCCGCTGCCGCGCGCTCCCTCCCGTACGTATATACGCTCCCCTCGCGCCCCTCTAGCCCGCCGAATCGCGCCACCGGCGCAGCCGCTACCCATTACCCCTCTGATTCGGTCGGTCGCGAGCACAACCCCTCCCGCTTGCTGGGCCGGGGGGGAACCGGCAGGACCACAATTATAAGTAGGGGTGCACCCGGCCTTGCTACCTCCAGTCGAGGGCTGTACTTCGTGACGAGCACGCGCGCGCGCGCGACCACTCGTCGCTCACCCCGGCACCCCGCACGCACACACACACGTGTGTGAGAGAAAACGCATATATATATATATATATATACATATTATCGCGTGGGAGTAGACGGTAGTAGTTCCCGCTGCTGAGCGAGGGAGGTAGTTTCACGAGGGTGAGAGGAGGACGGATGTACAAATCTCTCTTTCTCTCGCGGAGAGGGAAGCAGCGCGCACGAGAGATCGCCATCTGTCGTTGAGTCCGCGCCGATACAGTTGCCTCTGCGGTTATCGGTGGTTGTCGAGAGTGCCGCGGTGTGGCGTTAGTGCAGCCGGTCAGTGGCGCGTATATACGGTGAAGGAAAAAAAAAAGAGGTGAACGTACATCTTTGGTGAGCAGAGGGAGAGAGGGATAGAAGAGGGACAAGAGTGAAACGTTCGGGGAGTGGAGAGACGCGATTCACCGTGGTGACCAGCGGCGTGACTTTGCGTCTGCGGGCGCGCGATGCATGAATGCATCCCTCCTGAACTTTGATACTTTTCGCGTCGCCGATTCCCTGTACGAGGACCATAAGCATTAAGCATCCCGCCGGTCGCGACAATCGGTACCAAGTTCGACCCCGAAGCGGGGTTTCTCGTCGCCGACACCCTCGTCGTCGTCGGCGAAGAAGTCTCCGTCTCGACTCCAGGCTCCTCATTCCACCCCTCGTCGTCCGTCCGGCCCTTTTCTCCCCCTTCCCTTATCCCTATCCGGGTGGTACGGAGGAGAAGGAGGGCCCCTTCCGCCGCGCGACGGGCACATTGACTTTCTCGTTCATCTTCGACTCGTCTCACATACACACGTACGTAACACGCACGAGCCGTGCGGGTATCCTTGGCTCCACCAGTCCACCAAGTCCACCTCTACCACGACGGCGACTGCCCCACCATCGGACCCTCTTGTCTCCCCTCTCCATTTCTCCCCCGTCGGCCCTACTTCGGCGCCCTTCTCCGTTACCGGAGGGAGTATTCCTCGCGGCGCGACTACGGCCGATCAGTGCGTGACTCGTCGTTGTTGCGACGTTTGGTGAGGACGAGAGCGCAGTTTGTCGTTCCGTCAGTGCTCCCCAAAGTTGGCTTTGGGAAGTATGATCGCGACGGGTTGGTTGTGACTCGTATATGAAAAAGAAAGAAGCGAGAATAGATCCACGACGGTCATCGGTGAGAAAGAGAAAGAAAGATTATCCTTGGCTTCGTTACACCACCTAGATACGCGGACGCGAAGATCGTCGTCGTTCCCACCCGGCGAGCCTCTCAGCCTCTCTCAGCGTCTATCGTCCCACGGATATACTGGAATAAAGTGTGTCAACGGCAAAGTGTGTAAAAAGTGAAAACCTCCGCGTGCGATATTAAAATCTCGCGTTTCGTACGTATAAATACCGGTCGAAATAAATGATATAATTCGTCCGCGTACGGAGTGCACAGTGGTAAACGAGTTGAATTTAGCCGCGGTTTCGCACCACACTCGGCGTTCGCGCGCTTCTTCGTTGTTCGTTCGCTCGTTCGCTCGTTCGCTCGTTCGCCCGGCGACGGCTCGCATTAATCGAGAGCGCACCCCGGTACACGCGGTTCGTGGCTATGCAGCAGCCCCGCGGTATCGCGGCGAGACGCAGGTAACGCCGACGGGAAGACGCGACGACACCGAGCGGAGCGCGCGTGGATTGCCGCTCTCACATCCGCGCTTCCGCCGTCACCCGGGAAGCGCCGGCGGCGTGTAAACACCGAGGGATACGCGACGCGTCAACATGTGGACCACGATGCTCGTGTGGACGGCCGCCGTCGTTCTCCTGCCGACGCCTCGAGCGGTAAGTTCCTCTCCCTGTATATTATAAATCCTACGATTATGTACACCTTCCTTCCTCTTCCTTCCTCTCGACCTCGCCGTCGGCGAGCATTTCAACTCGCCAATGTTCAACCACTTCCTAAGAGGTTCGTTTGTCGTTATTTCTTTTTTTCTCTTTTTTTTTCATGTTGGAGAGAAAAAATATGAAATTATGAATAACAATAAGGTTCGATAATAATAAATAACAAAAATAATATGAAGCGCTACAAGCTAGAGATAGAAAACAAAAAAAGTATATTTTAAAAAATTATAAATATAAAATTACAACAAACGTTCCGACGCCGATCGGATCATTCTCGATGTTAAACAAAGCTTAAATATTAGAATATTACAAACTGCAAATCATATAAAATTTCAATAATTTAATACGTGTAAAATCTGATCTAAATACGCAATACTTGCTGAAATCCTTGGAAAAATCTAGTCATTCTTGTTAGTCCCTCCATATAATCCAAAAATGCATCAATAATGGCATCATGCTTGTGTTCTTGTAAGCGATGTCCATTCTGAGAAAATATGAACTATGCAACAAGTTCAGCTAAAAAGAACGGATCTTAGTCTTGCATTAAACTGCGCTGGAACTCTCTCGCTCTTGCCAAATATCACAAACATACCTATCACACTTTCCAAAAGTGTACACTGGTTCGGTGACAGAAAACAAACTTCTTTAATTCGATTCTCCGTTTTTGTCACCGTATAAGATTTGAAGGAAACCCGAATCTAGTAGCGCTAATGAGAAACCATATATCTGACGGACATTAACGTTACCACTATTGCCGGGTGCCAAGGTTGCCGTAAAACACGAGAGATGTACACACACATATACGCACACACACGTATTCACACACATATTACAGTCAACATCCGATTCCCAGAAATGACAGGAATACGTGCGTTCCTCGAAATTACATCGTTGTACACAAATGAAGGGATTATCCGGTTTAAGTATTATTTAATTAAAAACAATAGTATATTATATTAAAAACAATATATATAATTTTTAATCGCTTAACGGAAAGAAGGCTGATCGACGGCTAGTTTAAGACGAATGTATTAAACTCCGAAAATAGTCGTAATACATCGTCACGTGTTGTTGTAATTACTAGATATCAGAGAGTTTTTCAACTTGTGTGTCGAATTACCGACCTTGGGCCATCGTGATTCGATGAATGAGTTTGGCTCGGCGACATTCGGCATCCGAACTAAGCGCCTCAGATGCAGGTATACGTATACGCTACATCTTAGCTCGTATAGAGAGAGAAAGATTGGCATTGTTATTAATATACGCGGGAAAAGGGAAGGCGCCGCAAGATGCGAAAGATTGGAATAGACTCGATGTAATCGGCTCGCCTTTCATAACGATCCATAATACGTTCGAGGCTCGGATCGTGTACTTGCGTAATTGTGATTCTAAGCGACGCAACGCGATTAAAATTACCCGATGAATCTCTCTACGTATAATCCCGCATCTAGCATTAAAAAAGATACGAAGAAAGCTTTCGCGATCCTTGATTTCAAATTTATATTTCTGTAATATTTCACTTTAATCCGCTAATTCTATTCGTGAATGACGGCTTGCTTTCTGGAGCTATATTCTTGTAAAAAATCGCATACGAAATACTACATTAAAAAAAAATGTTCTAATTAAACCAACAAAAAGATCCAACAAGAAATCGTAATTAGAAAGTCTGTTTAATCTCACAGAAATGCCATTCTTGTTAGGTTTTTTGCTGGTTTAATTAAAATATTTTTTTCAGTATATAGAAAAATCTATAATATACGTAATGTTTATTGTAGTATTTTCGTACACGATATTTTTCAAAAATATGGCTCTTAATTTAGAAATCCAGATTGTTACAAATTGAACTAATTCGGGTTAATTCGAACGTGACACACGCAAGACGAAATAATTCGACGAATAAATCAGTTTGGCACCGTGAGAAACGCTTTTCTCACGACTCCGACTTTTTTTACGCGTGAAAAATATAAAACGCGTTAAATTTCTTGGTTTATTTAGTTAGAAATTATCGCGGTCGTGCGTCTCTCGTACTTGTCAAGCTTCTATTGCGTTTGACAGTCGCGGAATTGAGAACTGACTTTCTTTTTTTCTTGCTTTCTTTAGTACTTCGCAATTCAAGTTTTTTTTACGTTACATAGCCTCACTTAAACGACCGATTCCGAATGCGACGAGCGATGCATTTCGCGTATTATACGGCCCGTTTCTTCTCTCGGTTTCTTCTCTCCGCACGGATTCCGAGGGAATTCTTCCTGGGAGAGATGTCTCCCCGGCTTCCCCCTCTCCCCCTTCCCCCCCATTCCTCGTACGTTCTTTCTGTCTGCTACGATCCTTCGCGTTCGTGAGCTCAACTACCTTCGTGCTTATCTCTTAGCGTTGCCTACAGCTTTGAATTATAGTAAAATGCAACTTTCTTTTTAAAATCGTCGATTTTTCTAGGACTGAATTTAATCAACGCCATATACGTATTTTACTAACTAATAACTATGTATCGTATTTACACTTGGCGATAAATTATTTTCTATCCTTTTCTCTTTTTTATTTATTAACATTGTTCTACTCTACGTTGACAGATTTATTAATTTCATCATCCTGTAATTATTTATTTATATTGCCCGCAATTCTCTCGATATTCTTTTTCAGAATCTCTTTTCTACAATTTTCTTTCACCATTCGAAAAGTTCTCTCTTACTATCTGACGAAGTCCCTAATGGCGTGGTGCTCCCAACTCTAAATCTGGATGCACTCTTTTAGAAGTGTCTAGCCCCACTTCTCTCTCTCTCTCTCTCTCTCTCTCTCTCTTCTCCCTCTATATTTATTCCTCTCCTCTCGCCGATGTTGCGACTAGCGATGATCTCAAACCGCCTTAGACTCGTCTCTCGATCGCTTTACCTATTTTCGATCTTTCGCGGAATTGGGAAGATCTTTGGAAAAATCCTATCGATCGTTGACGAGCGGTAGAATCCTTTGTTGCCCGGTGCGGTGGCGAGGTCTGCATCGGGTCTTACCGCTTGCGATTGTTGCTTCCTCAAGGAGACACGCCTCAAAGACGTCTGAAGGGTGGCCCGGACGGCGAAAATCGTTTTGCGTGTGACGAAACGCACCGTCGGTGCCGTGTGTATCCGTAAATACGCGTGGCGGCCATTCTCCGTTCCCAGAATAACTTTCCAGCGCGCCAAAAATGAGATTCCTCATCGTGAGGGCAGCGCCGAGGTGCGTGAGGTATGTGTGAGTGCGTTATACGTAGGTGCATCCTGTGAGCGTGTGTGTGTGTGTGATGCGTACACTTACCGCTTATTTGTTTTTAATCATTTACTTTCGCGAGATGCGGACTAACGGGACGGATCCTGACGAGTACATGCAATTGCATCGAGTGTCCCGCTTCAAACGCAATGCGCGATAGTGATTGGCAACAAAGGATCGTTCTTATCGCTAAGGGCGCTTGTCTGACACCGAACACGACGTTTATGTTTAAGTAAATAAAGCCAGGGATATCAGGTAGCTGCATTTACGTTGAACGCGAGGTAAATCGTACGTATCAATGTAAATGCATTATTCATTCTTTTCTTTTATTTTTATTTTTTTTTAATACTGATGCGGCGAGAGTTGTTCGGTTTCTTCGCAGTACAGTCCGCGAATGAACATTTTATTTTTACCTCACGAGGTCGTGTAGAGTAACTTATTTTCCGAACTTGTGACGTGACGGGATTTTTGTCGATCACGGCTATGTACAATATCAAATGTACATGAAAAATGTACATGCGAAAGAATTTTTGTATTTGACGACACTATCCATGTCTGGATGTCAGCTGATGGAAACTACCTGGCGCTCATGATTGTGCCGCTTACTCCACTTCCCGATGACAAATGACGTTGTTGCTAATGACGTGCGTAATCGATGCGTGCGAAATACGCGAGCGCGAGACTGTGGGAGTTCGATAAAGGAAATCTAATGCCGCGAGCTCGTCGTTCGGACCTCGCTAAAGAACTTACCGTTCGCTCTCGGCTATACAATATCTCGTGGGAAGCTTCGTTCAGAAGCGCATTCGTGTGCGCGCTCGTGTATACATAACACAGACACACACACACACACACCGATCACGGCGTCTGCGGACACAGCGTTCTTGGCGTCGCGACGACCAGGATAGGAAAAATGTGTATCTGACGTTGGCACTGTTTGCTCGACATATCGCGACGATATTGACGTGTCGAAGGAATCGTTAAACCTTGGCTATGTTTTTTTTTTCCTTCAGCAATTATTTCTTTACTACACGTATATTTCTATATTGGATAATGACGATGCAAATATAAAGGCTGTATCTCGCGTTGGATCGGTAAGGCAAAGTCGCGACTTGACAACGTGATGAGTACGCTAGTAGTTAATCACCGGCAATAATTTTACGTCGCCGAAAAACCCGCTAATCGACTCGCCGTTTTTCGCTTTGCACTTCGAGCCGAGTCTCTACTCGGTAATTTCGTTAAGCAGCGCTTCGCGAGCCAACTAGAGCGTTGATGCATTTACGAGCTTGGTCGGCCGGCCTCTTTTTGCAGACGGTTTGCATCCACATGTTTCAAAAAAGAATATCCGTTTGGCTTTAATAATAGCGCTCTGGTAATTCGTTAAGTAGCAAAGAAAAATTTTCATTTTGAACTTTCTTCTCTACTCGGCAAAATAATATCTGTTATTAAAATAAATATTTTAAAAAGAAAACATTTTTGTGTTTGAAATATAATAAAAAATTCAAGATTATAAATATTATAATAATAGTCGTTTTGAACGCTTGAAAATTTATTGATCGTAACGTTCTAAAGACAGAGCGAGGGAGACGACTAAATAAACTAAGCTCAAGTTTATTTGACGCGGACAAAAACGAAAATCGTCGAATCTGCGGTAAATCGTGGCGTATTTTCGTAATTCGATTATAGTGGTGAAGCGTGGCGATGAACGGTATGTCCCTTGGGATACGTCTCGTGCAACGAACGAGAGAGAGAGAGAGAGGAGAGAATGCGTGGTTTTTGTTATATCGAAACCCGGCTTCTCTCCTCCTGGGAGACGTGCGTGACACGCGTTCGCAAAAACGTGAGCGCACACGTGCTCCTGCGGCGTTTCACATCATGGGGCACAAGACATCTCCCGTCTCGTGGATGGAGAGAAAGAGAGAGCTTCGTTTGATACCAGCTTCTTTTTTCGTGTGTCTCATGATTCGTCGCCAACTGTGGACCAAAACTACCGTTATTAAAAACATTTTACGCTTGCACGCTTTACAGCTATTAAAACGACTGTCAGAATGCTCTGTCATATTCGACGACCCCCCCGAAGAACAATATTTTCGTGATTTTTAATATTCGCGATTTATACATACAATATTATAATCAAAAATTTAGTAGACTATGTATTTTAATGTTTGCAAATTTTTTATTTTTTATTATTCATATATTTTATGTAAATCATAATAATAATTCTTAATTTTCAATGCATAATTATGAACTAAACACTCATAAATAAAAAAATAAATTTTTGTTTAAAATTGACGTTTGATGATTTCACAATTTCAAACATTTTTAGTATCAATTTAAAATCAATTTCGGTCTTTAATATTCATAGTTTTAGTTTAACTTTGAAAGATTTCGTGTATCGACAAGCTGAAATATAACGAGCACTGATTTGCGTGTGCCCTGTTGAAGAAGTAAAACGCACGTGTTTTACAGGTGAACGCCTCCGGGGTGTTTGAGCTGAGGCTAAAGTCCTTCGTGAACGAGTTCGGCAAGGACAATCTGGGCAAGTGCTGTTCCGGCAGCGCGTCCAAGACAGGCGAGTGCTCGGGGGTCTGTAAGACGAGGTTTCGGGTATGCCTGAAGCAGTACCAGGTGAAGATCGACACGACGTCGCCGTGCACGTATGGCGACGTTGTAACGCCCATTCTCGGCGAGAACAGAATTAATCTCAGCACGAACGTCGCTTTGCCGAGCTTCACCAACCCCATCAGGTTCCCGTTCGAGTTCACATGGCCGGTAAGTCCTTCACGTTCTAAATTCTAGATTCTAGATTCTATGTTTATTACTTACATTCCATAGCGTATTTGTTATTTTGACATTTGTTTTAGAATTACTTCGAATGCGTAGTAAATAAAGCTTCCGTTATAATCGAAATTTCGGTTATCAACGGAAGGATATTAATTTAAAATGATGTTAAATGCTTGAAAAATTAAGAGGATAACAAAAAATTATTTTGATCCAGCAAATGTTTTATTCAGAAGTTTATTAAACGTTCTATGACTGATATATATAAGTTGTGACAGAAAAAACAACTTGCATATTTAACAGTAACATCGAGCATCCTATTCGCATAGAATAAGTCCAACACTAATTGATATCGAATTATTAAACTCTCATGAGAGACGATGCACGTTGATGCATTGATGACTTACGAGAGTCGTGCATGCGCTGGAGATTTTTTGCTGGAGCCTTCGATTAGCATAAACGTTTCGATGTGAGAAGTAAGAAATGTTGACGACCGCGCGTGTGGTGATAGATAACAAGTACAGTATGTCCTATATAACGTCGCACCGGCGGCGATGTATAACTTATAAAACGTGCAGTTACAAAAAGAATGAAAACTACATATATCGCTTACGCAACATCATACACCACATTTTTCCGCAAATGTCCACACTCGCTAAATATCTCTGATGCGTTATACAATTAAAGGACACTTCAGAGATTTCTTTGAATCATTACTAATGCAAACTTTTTCTTTTAGCAAGTATAAATAATTTCGCAACGATTTATTATATAAAACACGCGTTGTTTAGTAATCGATACGCACGTTTCTAATCTAATAAATGGAAAAAATTTTTTAAGCGGATACTGAAATTAGACCGTGAAGATGTGAAAACGACGCAGTGCAAACTCGAGTGCGTGGAAAAGAACAATGTTTTTATCCATCCATTTAACGTCACGGATGCTAATCGAACAAGTGCATTATCTAACTCATTTCCAGTAAACACCGGAAAACAAGACGAAGATAAGAAACACGCGGAATTCGCGTGCGGGGATCGCGAGGAAATTATATTCGCGAGAGATCTTGAGTTAACGCGTGGACAAAGTCGAAGTCACCGCCCTTTGTAATAATACGTCGCGATGCCTATCTCGCACGGAAAACACAATTATTCAGTCCTGCTCTCGTCTCGCATAATCGACCAATTTGTACGGAAGTCGTTTGCAATAAATTTCGCATGCGAGACTGAAAACCTGTTCATTTTGTAAACTTCCGAAGGTCATGTCATACGTGTCGAGATTACAATATTAGAGATACCCTGTACCGTTATATGGAATGATTAATCATATTTTGTCTTGAAAGCCTGAGTATTCCATAAAAAAAATAATAGAAATACCATATGTAGATGTGACGGCATGAATTTTAAAATATACGAGTGGATTTAAAATACGTTTGCGTGCAGTGTTTACAACTCGAATCGGCTGTTCATCATAGCGATGTAAATAATTTTGATGGGCGCGCGATACGTATGGGAAGTGCGTGCGTCATGTAGTTGAGGGAGACGTTGCACGCGTCGCCGGTCGCGTTGCATTTGCAACAGGTCGGTATAGAGGCGGTTGTTCTCGTTCCCAACGACTTTGATTTCTGCCTCGCTTGACGCGCGCAATTAACGAAAAGGGGGAAAACCGCTGGTGCTTTTTCTCCAGCCATTCTTTAATTCTTTCGCGTGCGCGAAACACGCCTCGGCACACCCCGGCAGTCGGCCGCTGCGAACGTGCAGGATCGACGCACTCTCTCGCATCTGCTTTTTCCCTTCCTACTTTCGCGCGCACATTGCAACGAGATCGCTGTGGCGTACGGACAGGTTGATTGTGTTGAAGGAATGAGAGAGAAAGAAAGAAAAACACAGTGTGAGCGCGTGTATAGGGGTTGCGTTTGCGTGGCACGTACGACGCGTGCTGCCGACGTCGCTTGCACGCGTGCATGCGCACGCACCCGTCGCGTCGCGTCGGTGCAACTAAAATGAAAGAGCGAGATAGATAGCGAGGGCACGAGATAGATAGATGATGGAAAGGGGGGAGGGATATAGAGTTGGCAGATGCCGCAGAGAAATGGAGAAAAAGAGAAAACAAGGAGAAAGAGTAGCACTTGTCCTCATGCTGTTGTTGATGCTGCTTGCTGTTGCAGACGATGTTTTGGCTGTCATAGGCGTCGAAATTTAAATGCGAATCAAAGTGCATATAGATAATCGATAAAAATTGAATTAAACATTTCGATGTCAAAGTATAAAGATATTTGTAATTCATTTTGCATTTTATATACCCAGAAAAAAAGTATTAAAAAATCGATGTTATCGATAAGCGAGGAAGGACGTTTGTTACATGATTTTATTCGTTATATGACGAAATTATATAAAGATTTTCAAGATGTGTGTGATATAATGAGATTTATACGCGCCGATTCATGAAATATTTATTTAATTCACAAGGCTTCAAAACAATCTTACTATTGTGTAAGTTCATACTTATAATTTATAAGTAGCACGTATTTTTAATTTATTCCATAAATTGTCTTCACGTTTTTCATAAACAGGTTGATGTGCATTTAGGTCACTGACGTGTTACGCGCCAATGTACAGCATCTTTGGGCGTACGTCAATCCTCTCGTATCTCGTATCGGTGCTCGCGCGCGTTTCTGACTATAGTTCTGACTATGAGACCGCCGTTCTTGCAGGGCCGCCGCGCCGCGCCGACAGCAGATGGCCGGGGCCTTTTGCGCCTCTGCATACTTCCCACGTACTCGTGTCTTCGCTCTTTCTCTCTCTTGCTCTCTTCTCTCGCTCTCCGTAGCTTTCTCGTGAGCAGAGTTAAATTTACTAACCCATATGGCGCCCCTCATGCCTCTAACGAGCCCTTCTCTCTCTCTCTCTCTCTCTCTCCCTCTTACATCGACTGTTTTTCTTGATCTCCATCTTTTCCTCTTATTCGCAGTCTTTGCTTTTTTAATTTATATTTGTTTATTTTTTGTTTTAGCTTTTACTGTTTTTCTCTTTATTTCCAAAAGATAATACCATGACAAATTTACATTTTTTTTTTTAAAACACATTAACTTTCCTTCCAGAATATATTTAGACTAAAACATCGCGAATCTGCCGGTTGTGTCTAATGTCTATTTGGCAGGACTCGAGCCGAAGGCGAAATGAATACACTTTCTCTTTCTCTTTCCCGTCTGTACCCGGATGGTACAGGCACGTGCGTTCTTCGACATTTACCACCACCGGTTGAACCCGCAGCCCGACGACCGATAGGATTATCGCGGCGATGCACCGATGTCGAAAGTCGAAATTATCCCGAGAGCAGTTGCCGATGCTCTACTCGGCATCTGCTTTGATGTAGCGGCATCAAACGAAGTCGGTAGCAGTCTCGGATTCTCGGAAGACACGGTTACAGTTCCGCGGAGAACTTTCGGCGGGTCCTGACCGATTTCTGCGCCGCTCGTGCCGGATATCGCAGACTCCGCTCGGCGTGTCGGCGAAATAGCTCGAAACCGACGTAAGCCGCAATCGCTATTTGGAGTGCTCGATTTATTTTCGTAGCTTTCAAACACGAGAGCCGAGCTTCGACTATATTTTAAATCCCGTACCGCAAGATCAGCTTTACATAAAGAGAATTGGAGAGTGAAGTACGCGATGAAAGATACTATAATATATTCAATTTTAAATCGCGCGAGCTATCAGCGAGTAATGATTTGATTAATGCATACATATATACATGCATATGCATGTAATACATTACTTGCATATTAACGACTTGCTCCGTGTTTTTCTTTTTAATTTAATGGTAAATGACGAATAAGAGTTGCATAAACGGTTTGTTACGTGTCGCGTTTCTACGCTACACGATATAACGAAGGACGGTGAAAAAGTGAATTAACTCGTTGTTGCCGCGACTGATTACGGCCGAGTTTGCAATTAGTAAATTGACTCGCGATTCAGTTGTTGAGTTGTACGCGCGAGCATTGGACGAACGAGAGCTGATAAAATAGCCACTATAAATAACAGTTACGTGCAATGCGCGTAAATCACTTCCGTGCGGTATGCAATCGAGATGCGCGAATTAACGGCCTTTCCATCACTACACCAACAGGTTTCATTAGCAGTCGATAAAACTAAGGCTGAGCTTTGTGATTTATTAAAAATAAACATTTCACTGACCTAAAATTATCCTTTATTAACAAATTTAATATATTACACGGAAATTAAAAAGAAAACTCGTTAAATTCGAATCGACATTCTTGTCAAAAAAAGCAATTTTTTTTCATTATTATAACAGACAGCAATTTATTAGCAATACGAATAGACGAAACTGAGAGATAATGAGCTTCGAGGTTTATCAAAAATAAATATTTCACTGGTCTAAAATTATCCTTCCTATAATTCTTTATGAATAAATTTAACATATTACGTAGTAGAAAAATGAAAAAAAACCTCGTTGAATGCGAATCGGCATTCTCGTTAGAGAAGCAAATTGTTATTTTTGAACACTTATACCGTAAATTATTTCTCGATGGACGCCTCGAGGAATGCCTATGGTATGTCATTCGGCGGCATGCGTCGTCTGGATACGTAATCGTAACCTTCGCAGACGCTGCAATCTCTTATGCGTGCGTGCGTGCCGCGGTCTCTTATGCGCGCGCCTTAATTGGCTTTACGTTCGTGTACACGAGCCGCCTTATTAAAACAGCACGAGGCGACTAGCGACAGTGCGGCTACTGTGCTCGATCGTTGCGCACGCTTCTCTCGCGCTCGCGAGTGAGCGCACCGGCGTGTGGCGTGTAGTACAGGCGTTATGCGATTTTCCGCGCGCACTCGCGCTAATAGCACGCACGCGCGCGCGCTCATTTGCCCGCTCCATTCTTTTCCCGCTTTCGTTATGTCGCCTGGGAATTCCGCCGTCGCGCCGTGCCATTCTATTTTTAGCCGATCACTGTAACTTCCTTCCGCGATAAATATCAC